TCGTGGCATAACAGGTCATGAAAGAGCCTCTATATGGCCCGGCTGCAGCAGCTGTCACCGACAAAGGGTGACACAGGGGCAGGGGGAGCGGGGGCACAGACAGGGTTTGTTGTAGCCCATAAAACAAGAAAATATTATTTTGTGAAGCACTATAAAGACAATTGTCACCTGGGAAGCCTTCCTGAGCAAACAGAACACAACCGTTAGAAACCCTGAGGGGGGGAGAGACTCTAAAGCCTGGTATGGGCTTTGCAACGAACCTGAAGCATGACTTCCTCAGGCGATTGTGTGCCAAATGTTTTGTCTGATGAGAGGGTTCATTAAGAGAATTGTTTTATTTTAAACACCTGCATCAGCTAGTGCTGGTGTCCAGCAGGCACGCGAGGCTTCTGAAGTCTCTACATTTGTACAAAGATGTCACAATGTCTTTAAACAACCACTAACAGGAATTGGAGACTTCAGCACTGAAATGTTGCAGGTTTTGGTGCAGTCTCAGGAGCGACCGTGAATTACACTGGTCAGATATTCCCACGGTAGCGGTGTTTTCGTGTTTCTGGTGAAGGCGGAACGGGGGAACGTGCTGTCCGCGGCGGCAGGGCGAGCACCAAGCAGCCCACGCGGCGCTGCTGGCAGCAGTAAACCACCTGACAAACTGCCAGTTTTTCTTTGAAACAAGGTTATCACAGAGGATTGTTTGAAGCTGCGTTAGAAGACCCCTCGAGAGAACCCATCTCAGGGCTGCTCCTCCTCTGCTCCAGCTGTATCTGCCATGTAGTGGAGGTAAGTTACACAAATTCCCACTGGGATCTAGTAACCTGGATTCATCTCTGTACAAATTTGGCTTCTCAGACCCAGCTAGCTCCAGACATACAACCATCTCTTAGTCCACACAAAGGCTTAAAGACCTGAATAACGCTGTGGTGGGTGCACAGCCCACCTCGGGGATTTGCCCCAGCCAGGGTTTCAGATAACTGCCCCAGAGCGTGATTCTGACGGAATTAGATGACACGTTCTGCCAGATGTAATGGGAACAACATGCGTTGTCCTCAGTGCCTGTGACACCAAGGGAAAGCCCATGTAGGGCAGCTGATGAATTATTTTTAAATTCACAAATTAGTTTATAATATGCCATTGTGTAAAAGCTCTACCCTTTCTCTGCAGTCTTGCAGTAGCACAATCCATCTCATCATCCAAGATTTAGCTTCTCTCCAAAATCAAGGTCACAGGTAAGTGTTTCATGTCACTCAGATGAAGCAAAATTTTAGCCAGAGTGGTAGAATGCTTCCTTAAGGTTAAACTGAACATTAGCTGTGATTATATCAAGCTTTTACTCTCCCATTGAACACCTGTTGACCACAGAGGAGCTGACATTTTCCAGCCAACACGTCTTTTCTGGATGCAGCCAGCAGCTGCCCAGCTGCCAGCAGGCTCTTGCCCAGCCCTCTGCACTAGAGTCCATCTTCGAGGTGCCAAGACTCCAGCTGTCCACAGCCTTCACAGATTTCAGAAAATAGGAACGTTCCTTCCTTAGGAATCCACTGTATGATTTCTGTACCCTGCTTTGTACACATTTGTAGATACATGTACTGGAATTCCCCAAAAATTATCCTGAGAGCATTAGTCCCTGCCCTCCAGACTGCTGTTTGCCCTGCCAGCCCTACCTGACCAGTCTCGGAGCTCAGCCACTCATCGTCTTGAGCTTCACCTGAGGGTTTCTCTGGGGCCCTGTACTAATTCACTGGAACCATGAAAGCTGCATCATTTTCTTTGCTGTGAATGAAATTCCTATCAAAGGAAGCTACCACCGCACTCCTGCAGTTGCTTATGGAGTCCCTGCTGCTCCTTTGCTTGTTTCTTACCCTCACATCCAACCGGTCGCTCAAGGCTCTCAGAGGACAGTTAGAAAAGGTTTTGCTGGCTGGGGCAGGGGGGAGCACCGTGCTGTGTGTGTACAATGCTCCAGCACAGCTCTGGGAATGCAAACAGCAATTTACTGCTTAGTTTGTGAAACCTGACCATCCGATAAAAACTCCTTGCTGTACTTTAGGATGGAATTCACTCTCTCTCCTCGCAGCGCTTTACTGCAGGAAATTAAAATTTTAGTGGTGGCACATAACATCCCCACCAGACTGTTCCCAGACTGGTATGTGGCAGCAGCGACGTCTCCCGTGATGTCTCCACAAGACTCGACACAACTGGCGTCTACAGCAGAGGCGGTTGCGGAGTGCCTTACCCTCCTACTTAAACTGGCAGCCCACATTCAGAGTTTTGAGGTAAACTCCAAAATAACTGGGCTCTAAGAAATTTACCTAGCTTGCCCCAGAAATCCCCCCAAGCCACACCAACAGGCAGCTGCACTCGCCTTCCAAGCGGAATTTAGAAGCATATACACCGAGAGGATTCCAGAAGCAGTGTTAAAGCATTACAAAACCTCATTATTTTATTCCATATTTCTTTCTAGAGCTCTGTACGGTTATCTTGTGCAGACACCTGATTAACTAATCCATTGCCCCAACATCACTTAAAGGCAGGTGAAAGTCCCTCCTGAAGCTGATGTCTCCCACTATCTGGGGACCAGGGGACACAGTTGTGTTTGGTGAATCTCCAGCCCTGCTGTTGGGGACAGATTTCCTTAACTGTGTCCTAGCCCCATGCTCCTACGTGACTGCACTGAAATATGCTGTTTATAATCCAGGATGAGAGCGAGGATACCCCTGAGAGTGTCCACACTCTTGCCCCCGAGCTGGTAATCCCAGCAGAGACCATTAACTATTTGCATAATGCTGAAGAAGGTGCAAGTCCGGAAGATTTTCTGAGAACTTATTTAAGTCCTTCACAGCCTGCCCTGGATTCAGGTACACTGCATGCTGGCGCAGAGATCAACATCCAATTTAGTAACAGAATTAGAATTTTTGGTGTATAACACTGAACGTGCAGTTACAGGAGTGTTCCAGTGCTGGTGTAGTAACAGAGGAGAGCAGCTCTACACCCGCTAACAGAGCTCACCTACCCTAGTAAGAGACTAGGGAACAACTGGGCAGCCACTGGGATTTCAAACTGGGAAAGCATCTAGAGGATAGCAGCTGTAACACATGCCATGTGTCTTGTCAAGGCCTTTATGAAATGCAGTTTTATTTTGTAGTTAAAACCAAGGTCTAATAACTAAGTTTAATAACTTCAATAAAATGTATTATGAAGTATTCAGGAATTTACAGTTTAAGTAAATTAATTCAACTAGTTATCTGAACGTTACCTCGGCTGACTAGTTTCCTCTCCCCTCCCTCTCATTCACAGAGACCATTTGGCCTGTTCCATCTCATTTCTCTGCATGACGGGGCTGTATCCAGGGCTCCTCTTTGCAGCTGGACCCTTTGGTGTTTATTGTGAATCCACCCATCAGAGAACAGATGCCCAGCCATTCCAGCATGCTGCCGCTACGGTCCTTCAGAGCAAGCTGAGCAGGCAGCGACTCAGAGCTGCAGAGCCTGGGGAACGGCTGCGTAACCTTCCCTGTCCGCTGGAAGCAACGTTACCCACAAACTGCAATAAAGATGCCTTAAGTTGACAAAAGACAATCTTTAATTTTTATAAATGTTCACCCGATGACTCCAAACAACTGTTCAAAGTTCTTTCAAAATTCAACCATTTTCAATGAAAGCACAAAAAACACTTCCACAGTTTCATCTCGAAACAGTTGCAAGTTTCACATAAACAAAAGCAGGCTTGGTTAATACAAATAACTATGAAATAAGTATTAAGTACTGATCATTAAGTAGCACTGAAATGATTAACGATACAGTAAGTTTCCTTCTACAGTATGACAGTCCTTCAAGGCACTAGAATACATCCACAGTTTTGACAAGGCGACCGATAACCCGCAGTCGCCACCAGCACTCTGGCATTTTTTGGTTCATGTTTTAAAAAGAATCTGCAGCAAATCAGTGAGGGAATGTCTCTTGCAAGGTATCTCCTTGTAATGTCTAAGAACTAGAAAGAGAAGTCTAACCGTGACATTAAAAAGATTATTTCCGTAATACATGCACTTTAAATAACTAATGTTCTGCTTCCTTACTCTGTTGAAATTTCTGCTAATACCTTCTGTATGAGCAGCAATTATGCTTCCTATGCAAGTTTCTGCAGTAATTAATTCCTTCCATCCAACATTTTGAAAACCACTGTCGAGACACAGATCATTAAACTTCTTCTGAATGGCTTCTTCTCCGCGATGCACAAGTCACAACTCTACAGAGTTTTGCCATATCATCAAAAGAAGCTTTTCACTGTTAGGTCAGAGTTTTCCCACCAGGAGAGGAATCTTTAAGGAGTCGGAGAGTTTCCATTACAGAGCAGTGCTTTCCGTATCATTGTCAATATCGAGCATGAGGTGGTGGTTGTGCAGTTCTTTGCTCACTGTCCCCGTAAGAAGCTCTGAAGAAGGGCTTTGAAGTGGTTCTTGAATACTGGAATTAGAGTCTGCACAAAAAACGGAACAGCAAGTTTAACAGTCTGGACAGCGACACAACATTCACTAGAGCATTTCTTCAGAAAGAGCAGGGAAAGGAAAGGTCAACAAAGGCTTTTCAGAGAGCTGGCACGCATGTGCACGTGCACACATGGACACAAAAAGGCTGAGTCAAACTAAAAAGCTTGAGTTGCTTCTCTTATGTACCTTTGTTTAGTCTTCTACATAAAGGAAAAATACTTATTTCTGAAGAATGGAAGACAGCAAGTGCGATTTAGTATCGGGTTCCTCAATGCTCCTTGCAAGTGGTACTTTACTCCAGACATTCAAAACAGAATGGTCACTGAGCAAAAAAATGTAGCACCTCAGTCATCAGCCAGGGAACCACCACTGATGGCTTTTAGAAGCAATAGGACCATGTATGGTGTCAAAAGGAGGCACTGTCCCAAGAAGAGGAAGTAATTAGTTAAACTAAATGCAAATTAAACCCTCTTCCTGTGTACAACAGGAATATCATGTTCATCGCCTCTTCTCAGGGGAGGAGAATTTTGTTCAAGCTGAAGTGTCCAAGAAGGACCTCAAAATGTTGGATTTCTTGTGACTGGCTGCACTGGTAGGTAGAAGACCAGAGAAAGCCCTAACTTCAAAAAATGTAACTGGAAAGATTTAGTATTTTGGAAAGCTCATTTAGAATATGCCATGACATCACTGGCTGCAATCCAGCAGCTGTTCCAAATAGAAAATAATTTAGCTCACTGAAATAAATGAAGAATCCAAATAAACACCTTGCCTTTAAACACAGGCAGCATAGACAGGCATCCTACAAAGCCTTTCACTTACACCTCAAGCATTAAATTTAACCCACAACTTAATGTATAAATGGTCAAGACAGGGAAGAGGTGAAAGTGGCCACAGAACTGGAGTTGGAGTGCAGCCTCCCCTGCTGCTCTCAGCCCGTTGCTGGAGTGCCAGCCAGCAGCACACTGCAGGAATTTCGTATTCAGTGATAATCTAGTCCCTGAAACTCCACCATCTTGTGGCCTGACACCAACCGGCTTGTCTTGTGCAGGACAATTAAACGTTCTTGTCACTACTGCTGCAACTTTCCCAAAAACGCAATTCCAGGATTTATGTTTTCTTGTGAGGTGTGAACTGTAAATTTTCTCCCAAGTCTTGTATCGCAGTCTTGGGGAAGTACCCTGTTCTGCTAAGAAAGCTTTTCAGTGGTGAATGAAATCATCCAGAAGGCACAGAACACACCCTCAGTTATGACATCTGGGGGAATCTTTTACAGATTTCTCTGGCCAGCCCTGCTCTCCTGTTGAAAGCCTGTGTCCTGGTTACTGGGCTGTACGCAGTGAACGGTGCCTGGTGCCATCTACCAGACAATCGGTGCTCAGTAGACCTCTGATAGCAATGAAGAAATCATTTCCGGAGCTACTTTAAAACAAAACCTTTTCACTTAGCCTTACGTTCATGGGTTTAAAATAATTCCACAATCCATGAAACCAAGTTTCATAGCATCAGCAGCTCTCCTTTAACCCCATTACACTGTGTAATGCTGCTTCTACAACAGATAGAAATCTAAGTACCTTTAAAGTCACTAGATTTAAACTTTAGATTTTTCTTTTTTTAGTCATTTTTACTATTGTTAACAGAAGCAATATGACAAAGAAGAATAACCAGCAATCGTGTGAGTTCCTAAATTCTTCTTGCATTTTTCCCCTTACTCAACACGTTCCAGGCTGAGCTTGAGCACAGAGGAGATGAGCACACAGCCCAGGAGCAGGGGCACCGCGCCCTCCCCAGTATCGAACAGTGCCTATGGTACTGCTCAAATTTTATTTGAGGTATAGTCGAAAAGGTACAACTGAACTTTAGATGCAGGCATGGAAGTTCTCCCTACCACGACAGCAGATTGAAGGATGGATCGGAAAAGGAGGTGACTGAAAGTGGGAGGTGACACAGGAAAGGAGTGTTTGTGACAAACAGTGGTGCAGCTACATCGAGTAAAAAGTGAACCCCTGGATAAAACACACACATTTCTAGATGGGATGTTTTCTGTATGTGGAAAAAGGGAAACCGGCCAGTCAACAAATGCACAACTTGACACATTCTAGTCTCCGATACTTTTAGTACGTTAATGTGAGAGCGAGCATCAAACAGCCATTCTTTCTGCATGCCACGCTAATGACGATGCAAGCAAGCCGTGTTATTTGTGACGGGTTAGTAGCGGGCATTAGCACACACATGATTATGAAGGAGCAACATTTGTGGCCAATCATATGCCTTTTCCTTACCATTGAACTTTCCAATACAGTTCCTACTGAATGCAGCTCAAACATCTAGATTATTTAATAAAATTTTTGATTAGAATATTCTTTTCTAGGGCTTATTACTTTAATACCATAAATAGAATTTGCAGCATTACTGAAGTCCGGTACATGGACAAAGGAATTCAACCGTGTCCTGAAAACAATTCCGAATTCCTGTTCTGATGCTATGAAGGTTGCTGCAGACTTAACTTTGGCTTCCATTGTTCCCATCTGTCTTCCCTCGCTCCACTATTTAAGATTAAAACTAAACGCAGCTATTTCACACTGTGAATTAGAGAAGTCAGTCTATAATAAGTGCTTATATGTGCACGTGTAAATGTTAGAGCAGATACTCTTATGCAATACGCAGTGGTTAATTCAGAACAAATATTAATCCTTTAACAAAGACTGACCTGGAAAAGGTGGATGATCCTGTACTGAATGTACTGCTTAGGCAAGCTTGAGTATCACTTCAACAGATCCCCAGGTGTTCTGGTTTTCTTCCCCAAAACAAGGTTTGTCTTTTGCGGGAGAATCCTTCCTCATCAGCTTTCTTTTACAGGCTTTGCTGCATGGCAGCTTTCATACTTTTGTTTACCACACACAATTTACGTGGCCAATTTGCTACCGTTTGCACTGGAAAGGAATATGGAGTCTCTCCAGTTTTCACACTGCTTCATTTCAATACTGTTGATTTCAATAATTTTTTATATTTACCATGACTGTGGACCTCTGTTCTGCCTGTACCTCAGCTGCAAAGGCGTCAGCACCGAGTTGTAAATCACAGTCCATGCAGAGCCTCAGTTGTGCCCATCCCTTCCCTACAGCACACGCTTGCCTTGTGTAACTTCAGCTCCCCCACTACTAAAGCAGCCCCTGCACACCACCTGGGTGGTGTTTAGAAGGCGAGTGTTCCTCCAGTTACACCAGGGTAAAACGATCCTGCCTGTCTGCTATCATTAAAACAACTTCCTCAGAACCAGAAAAATTCCCAAATGAAAACAAACACGGTCAACCTATGAAACATGACTTAGAAACTAAATTTAAGTCTTTATTTGAAGTTTGACTCATCAGCACAGTTCCCATTCTTATTTGTAAGTGCCGTAAAGATCCAGACCCCAGCTTTATTTCTGAATTCAGTTCTGAAATAAAATGCTTTTGTATTTTAAAGCTGACGAACAGAAGTACAATAAGGAAAAGTCAGTTATTTTAAAAAGCAAAGCTACTTTTTTAGTTGCTTAAGCAGCTCATTTACTGCTAGTTTCTCAAATTTAAGAAAAGGTACTTCCACCTTGACTTCTCAATCCAATACTAATCTCGGTGTCTTTCCTACACACAGGGAAATCTTGAGATAATTCAGGAATGCAGCCTCAACTTTTTCAGCCTCTCATGCACTTGTTACCTCAAAAAGGCAGCATCTCAACCCATTAGGTATGAACAGTGAGACGATTAAAGCGTTGTTCGGCAGCTGCGATTGAACAGACCAGTACTATTAGTGAGGCTGGAGCTGACAGAATGCAAATGCAAACATGCCAGAGTGCAGGTGCTGCTCGGTGCTCTTCTGCAAAGGGCTTTAGTCACATGAACGTGTATTTTGCCAAATAAATCCCAAGTAGTTAAAAATAACTGAAAATCTCAAGTGAAAGCTACATTAAAATGCAACCATAAAACCCTGAATTGTGTGAAAAAACATGAGCTTCAATGTTTGCCTGCACTGATGAGAACAAACCTCTTTTAAACGGGTCACTGCTTCACACTTGGCTTCTGGACTAGTAGTGCTGGTGACTTCGTGTGAAGTGCTACTCATTTGACTATAGTTATTTTTACAATTTGTTCTAAGGAATAACTTAATGTTCACAGGACTCTTAAAATATTAAGTAGCACAGGTCTTAAAAATCTCTTACAAACAGAATGATATGTAGTAATGAGATAACACAGAGTGACAGAGAGCACATATTCCAAAGCGCATATACAAAATAAAGCTACAAAAAAAAAATATTGCTGTGCAGGAGCATTTTAGCTTATATTGCATGTTTCTGGTAAGTACAAACCTTATTCGCAGTAACCATCCCCACCTGTGAAGGCATCATGGGGTAAAGCTGTTAGGCAACAGAATTGATAATTTGCATTCCATTACATTAGTCTTATTCTAGAGAAGCTGCAGTGTCATTGGAAAATTTTAACCATTATTAAATATAAGTAGATTTAAAAGCATTAGTCTCCTACATTCATTATCTCTTCCTTCAGAATTTCCTAAAATAAGCAGAGACTCAGCAGGAGAACACTTCGAGACCTGCTGGTTTTGACTGTCCTCAGCAGTTACTTCTCTTTCCCCGCACAAGACTTAAATTAACATTATCCCTATCAAACTAGTGACTACGAGCTCCATAAAGTTCCTATGAGAGGACAAAGTTTCTCTTTACTTCATGAACATCTCAAAACAGAAGAAGGCTGCATTTGAAATCTGAAGATCTATCTAGCAATTGACCTAAGATATTGAGTTAAGTCCATGTGATTCTTCAGCTTCTGGATGTCCAACTTAAAAGCACATCAGACTTGGTTCTCGTAAGGTGAAACATTCACTGTGTTAGTATCTTGTCTGTTAGAACATGTATCAGTGATCACTTTTGGCATTTTATTATCTTCAGTATGTGCTGAAATATACTACCCTTGGCTACACTTTCTCCCTCCCCCAAATATTTGTTTTTTTTGGCAACAAATACATAAGCATAATTCGGACTGCTGTGATGCTGAGCCTGGAGGAAGCCCTAGAGAGCTGGTTGTTATAATAGCGCAGGAAAAAAAACACCAAAGCAAGCTAATCTACCCTCCCCCAAACCCCCTTCTGCCTCAGGAATGATGACCTTCACTGTGGAAGTGCCCCAACTCCTCCTGCACAGAACAGGTGGGTGGGCATTTTAACTGGAAATGAGCAATTTAATATTTTAACTTGTTTGTGGTTTTCAGTCCTGTTCCCTCAAATTCATTTACAGCTACAGGCATTATTCTCTTCTCCCTGAGGATACACGGAATACAGAAGAATCCACTCACCTGTTACTATTTTGGAAGCTGTTTGTGAGGAGTTTGCAATAACACCATCTCCAGCCAGCTGAGAAGGAGGATGAGGAGGAGGAGGAACACTAGGTCTGTTTCTGGGCTTTGGGACCGGCCGTGGCCTCGGCAGCGTACCACTCTGCGTTGGAGAGTGAGACTGGGAGCTTTCTTGAGTGGAGGGCTGTGGCTGTGATGATGGGGAACTAGTATTATGTTTTCCCAGAGGGGGTGTATCGGGTGGTGTTGGAGTCTGCGGAGGAGTGTAACAGGGCTGCTCTGGTCCATGCTCGCTGCTGGGTGCAGCAGGAGATGTTTGACTGTTTGATTTGGGCTGCGGTGGAGGAGTAGCCTGTGTTGGGGGTTGTGGTGGTGGATGGCTGGGAGCTTGTATTGGGGAAACACTGCTGGAATATCTCCGAGGTGCGGAAACCTGGCAAGTGGAAGTCTGGGCTGCTCCTTGGTTTGCATGTTGAGCAGGAGGAGAAGAACTTCTAGCAGGTGGTTTTGGAGAGACAGAAGGTGGCTGAGCAGCTGGGGCAGAGCTTTGGCTTCCCGGCTGCCCTGGTGGCGGGTTGGCTGGCTTCGGAGGGGCTGGCGCAGGCTTCTTAACAGCTGTAAAGAGAAGAGAGGAAATTTCATGGCTCTGTGTTGTGAAAGCAAAATCCTGAAAGAAATCAGTAGCACAAAAGAATACTCAAGTACATTATCAAAATAAAATGATGTATTATCAAATAGAAGTGATATGAATTGGAAGCCACAGAAAAGTGTACGCAGGTTTACTACCAACAGCCTTCGAGTCATTTTGTTAAACAGCATTGGTAACGCTGCTACCAGCTTTCATGGAAGAGTCCAAAAGTCAAAGATGCATTTATAGCTACGCCTTAGAGAAATGCAAGTGTTGTCTGTAACAAAGGGAGAGATACTGATAACGTTATTTCCATAAGCAGTACATAAATAATTGGAACTTAGTGGCTTGAAAATCAAATGAAAAACACACCTCTCCTCATTGCGTGGGGACTGGGACCGGCCGCATTCTGTGGCTGATTAACTGAAAGTTGATTAGTGCCACTTGTCGACTGGTTCTGGACAGCGCCCGCATGCCCGCCATTTCTCACCGGTGGAGGAGTAGCTGAAGACGTGTTGTCCTTAGATTTTGAGGTACTGAAAATTAAAAGTGCTAAATTAGAAGATGACTGTAAAACACCTCACCCAGATCAGCTGCACCCGCTCAGGTTTACATTATGAGCTGCACTGTAGTTCTGACCCTCAAATGCTTCAGAAGAACTCCTGCACTGGCTGGTATTTACTGAGACTGAACAGTGCTACAACCCTTCAAACAAGGGACAAGCAGGCTTCAGGCAAGCCCGTAATTAATTACCAAAATTAAACCAGGCATCCAAGCAGTTCTGCAGTGCCACAGTACCGGCTGGAATGCAATTCTGATACCCTGGAGTACAGCGTTCATGCTAACACAGCCTCAGTGCACTTGTAGATCCTTTAGAAACAAGACTCCCAACATGAAGGTTCATATAAAGTGACTTCTCCAGTTTCCCCATTCAAATACAGCTATCACCCTGTGTCTGGGAGCCTCTGCAAAGTATTCTGCCACAGCACCACATCCGATGCGCTGGCAGTTATCTGTACACCTTGTTACTAAGGACCAAGCGATGGCAATCTGTGAGGCTCAGCCAGAAAAAAAACAACACGAAGGACATGAACCAACTTGCTACGTATAGTATACGGGTGAGGCAGATGTAGCCCTCGCTGCTGGAGCCCTGGAGCCTTTGGAAGCACTTGGGAGGGTGCAGGGAAAAACCTGCGTGTGGAGACAGCAGGGTTTCTCTTCCCATTGTTGGCTGCCTGAAGCCTTCTCTCCACCCTACCTGGAACTGGGCTTTTACCTTGCTGGGAGACCAGAGCTTGTCTCGAGGGAGCAACCCTCGTAAAGTCTCTGAGATTCAGCTCAGGAGAACTCTGCTCTTCCTGATCCTTGGCTATGAAGACAACAGAACTGGGGGGAAACACAGCACTCGAGCATGAACCAGCCGAGGTGGTACTGGGCAGTGCCCCCTCCTCTTGCCAGGCACTTGCTGTCTTCACTCGTGTCCCTGTCTTTATACTCATAGCAAAAGGACTAACACCTCTCAGTCGCTTTTACTGGCACATGGCAATTCTAATTTCTCCAGATGCTGTTAATAAATCGCAAATACTTGAATGCAGAGTTTGTGCAGATTTTAGATGCAGCTTTCAGAGACTACTCTCAATGTTTTGTTTCAGCTGCCTGTGCCGCAGAGGACATCTGTAGAGGAAACACGAGTCTGCGGGGGATTTCCAAATGAGAAGTTGTTTTTGTGAAAGTGGCACCTAAGAACAGAAGCTGTATGCAAAGGAGTCAATGCTGCATCAAAACTCCAGGGATGTGTTCTACTGTAAGATGCTATGCAAGAGGTCCATGTTTGGTGAGCACTACAGGCTTTTACATGTGGTTTATTGTGTCTCTCAGACCAGAAAATATTGAAAGCAAAATGCAGCTTTCACCACACATGAAAGGAAGAGTCAAGGCTACTGCCACTAGTCTTGGTGCCTGTGTATACTGATACTGGGGACACAATTGCACAAAGTTTCAATAATAACTAAGCAGCAATAAAGCCTGTATACATGCTTGTCCTAAAGAAACTCATACTGAAGTACAATATATCTATTTGCAGTTTTCTAGCAAGCAAATCTGGTCATCACTAACACTGGCTACAGACACAAAAGAGACATATTCAGATAACGTGTATGAGAAACAACAAACGAGACCAACAGGTTTCCAGTATTGCCAACGGTAGGTTTTGTTCTTTCAGCAGCAAACTGACAGTCGTACTGTGTGGACATCTCCAGAGTACAACTTGCAAAAGTCAGCATGGGTGGTAGAAGTACAGCCTTTTTTTAGTATTTTTAATAATCTTTTTTCCCTGCAAGGATTCTCTTATTTTAGAAGATCAGTTCTGGAACATACAGAACGATGTATGCTGTCTCAGAAGATCGATTCTGGATCAATACACATGGCAAGAGTGCTCTTGCACAGTGCTTCTGCCCACGTCTGAAAAGGCTTCACACAAGACGACGTGCGTTCCAGTCTGAAGCGCCTTGTGAAGCAGAGACAGCTGACACATCGGTTTGCTGCTGAAGCAGCCTGCGAAGCCACTGCCAGCAGAAGCCATGCCTCTTACCTGACATCCTCATTTCCTTGACTTTGTAACTGTTCTGCTGTGCCAGCAGAGAGAGCAGAACCAGCACCCACTGGGCTTGTTTCAGCCCCAGAAGCTTGGGAGTGCTGCTCCGCTCCAGCCTGAGCCAACACGCCAGCCTCCGTGGGTGGAAGTGGTGGCTGGAAGGCTGGGGATGTGTGCTTTCTATTTATAGTGCCACATCTCCGAGGGTTCGCCTGGAAGTCCATAACCTTGACACCAAAGCTACAGAAAGAAGAGAGAGTAAACACACCACGCCAGCCAACACCAGGTAATTAACGCAGCAGGACAACTGGATGTTATAACCCACAACGACAAACGCAACCCCTGTTGCTCAGCATGCAAAGCAGCAACAAGGAAAGCTTCAACTTTCTGCGTACAACACCACTGATGTTAAGGCATGCAACGCTACTTGGCTTATCCACACAGAGGGGTAAGCTAAACGTAACTGGAACAAACTACTCAATTACATTTGAAGACAGACATTGATGACGATGAGGTCAAACCACTCAGGAATTTTACACGTAAATACATAAATCCCTTACATACCAGAGCACCTCCTCACTGAATATATTTTGCCACATGAATTTTGTTTTATTACACCTTATCTCTAAGTTGCAGTACAGATTTCAAGATAGACAAAAAAAAGTCACCGGATACACGCTATGATTTGTGTTTAAAGGAAAACTATGGATAAGCAGACTAAAATTCTAACAGATTTTATGAATTTTTTAATGAATATTCTAGAATTTTATTCTTGTTACACTGAAGACAGGGAATCTTGAATTGATTTTCTTCTCTCAGCGCTGATAAATTTGCATGTGGCTAGCCATAGTTAACATTCAGGTAACAATTAAACATTTGCATAAACAGCTAAAAACAGAACAGGACATCACTTGAATATTCATGATATGAGTGATAATAAATGAGCGTTACACTACATGTTATATGGGAAAACAGCAGTTTTTATTGTTTAGCGTTCTACTGTTTGCTGTGGCATACTGTACCATCATCAACTCAGAAGTCTTATCATGAAGGCACCAGGTAACACCACCTCAGCTTATGGGCTTTGAAAAAGAAGCCATGGAATATCAGGAGTTAGATACGGATAGACGCTACTAGATACACTTCTGTTTCAGTGGATTCTAGACCCCCCAAATCTGTCACAGGAAAATGGTAATTGGAAGCCGTAATTATCTGCTTGTGTTTTTTTATCATGCACAGAGTATAACTGGCAGTAAACACCAGTACATTGCCTCTGAACCTTCCTCAGGCTGCACCAACACGGGGGGAAATAAATCACTACTGTTACCTATAGAATTTCAATTAAATTCTCCTCCTGAGACCAATAAAAGTGTGTCTGACTGCAGCCTCCTCAGTATCCAGTTCTCAGGAGTGGGCTAATAAATGAAACCTAACCTGAAAATGAAACATACCTTTCCTTCTTCAATAAATCCCCTTCCATTACAGTCATACTAACAGGCCGCTTCCGTTCCAGTGTCCCAGACTCATATTCATTCCCAGTGTGCGACAAGTGATTTGAATTAATATTGCAACAAATGCCCCAGACACATTGAAATCTTGATCTGAGAGACAGAGAGAAGGCATCCTAAGACATATGTATACAAAATGGTCCCTCACCGCAAAAAGCTATGGGAGGTTTACCCGCACAGGGTTATCACAAATACCAAATTCTTTTAACTATGGCAAGAATTTACCTCCAGGGAAGAACCAGTCTGCATGCTGAATAATTGGCTCAATAACTGCTACCACATGGACCGACGTTGCTGCTGCCATTTCAGCAAGGGATCTGCAGAAGAAATTTGTAGAACACTTTATACAGAGTTCTATCAAAGTAAGAAAATAAAGAAATTCTTATTACCTAAATGACAAGTTATGCTAAGCATGACGTATCAAGACTCCTAAGTGCCACATAAAGAGCAACTTCACACTTCGATGAAACCTAGACTGTTCAGTAACATCATAGCACCTGGAAATACTCCTAAAAAAGATGCATGCCTAAAAGAATCTGGAGGCACAGGCTGAAATAACATTTGAAATATTTTGTAGACAACTAGTCCATTGCTGTGAATGGTCTACTTGATTTAACACAACCTGACAAGAAATTCAACAGGTTTGTGGAAGTTCTGTTTTGTAACAACTTACCCTTCATTCTTCGCCCATAACAAGTTGGGGCCCAAGACTATTGCAATATTGCTGGGTGTCATTTTGTTAACATCGCTGTTCTGTGCAAGCTTTGCTAAAAATTTGATTAAATACCTACAAAAAAGAAAGAAATAATTAAACAGGAACTAAGAGCATGGCTTGCTGAGAACAACTAAGTAAAAATTGAAGAACTCAAAGACAGCTCCCAACTGAACGGAAATAAGATGAGCAGCCTTCTTGCTTGGTAGCTGGCTACTAAGTTTCTACTCATGAATCATAAAAGTTGAACTGGGTAGAAAAGAAAGCACCACCCACCTTAGAAAAATGGAACTACAGAACTATTATCTTTTCAGAAAAAATGTTTAGATTGAGAACGCCTACTCAACAGCTATTTTAACATCCTGTAATGGAACTTCCATACTTCTAGAAGTCACCAGCATTGGTTTTGTCCCGATTCATTCCCAGAAGGCAAAATCAAAAGGAAAAATAACACGTAAGATACAACCGGGTGACTTCTAAGATTGGAAAATACAATGAAGAGCACAGCTGGTGAAAAGTCAGGTACTACTGCCAACAGCATGAACCTGAAGTAGAAAGGTTCTATGCATCACTATTTCATTATGAATTAACTTGACAAAAAAAGTCTACCACCACCAATGCACACCAACTACTTGTTAAACAGGATGTCTTTGCATAAACCTAACTGAATTTGGCCATGAAAAAAACCCCTGGATTAGAGTTTTGGTTAATCAGCTTTGAAACTTGGTACTCTAGCATCAAAGCGGCTGTGCTGCCAGTCAATGGATGTTCGTACATACCTGAAATTAGCATGATAATGTTTAGGTAATCTGTTACAAATTCTCCATAACTCTTGCAGCTTCTTATCCTGGTCCTGAATACTGAAAGGAAAAAAAATTTCCATTACATCTTACTTTCAGATCAGAAAATTATTGTTTCTGCAGTGAACAGAGATGACTGTATAACCTTTCCGTTTATGCCAAACAAATGCACTGTTTTGTATTCGTAACTCAGTAACCTGCTAGTCAAATCCCTGAATTATCTCTACCTGCAACGAAAGAAAACTGCTTATGCATCAGTACTAGGCAGCCAATAGTCTGAGGCAGCCCTTATGTTTAAACATAACAGATATTTCCCCACATTTTTATGCAATTAGTATTAAACTACAACACAATTTAAAATAATTTGTTACACAAAATATTTACCAGTTAGAGCAGAAATGCGAAAGTATGAATTCATACAGGAAGAACCAAATTTGATGAACATATATAGAATGTCTTCCCATACAACTATTTTTAGTATGCTTACTTTGCAGCTTGCGTCCATTCTTCATACAGACTGTAGGTCATTAAAGGTTCTGGCAACTCTCGCAAATAGGATTTCAAGGCACCTGCAATGCAGACCAGAAACAGGCTAGCCTCTTAGCTAATGCTTTCAGTCGTCATTAAAATTGCAAATCTGAGGAGAGAATTTTAATCTATGCAATAGGACCCAAGTTCCAGTGAAACAGTGGGAAGACCTGATGTTTCCACAGTGCATCTGCTCAACATCTAACACAAAAGGTCTTCCAGTAATTACTGTAATTTGACAGAAACATGTACTGTGGAACTATGAATAATCTCTTCGGAACAAAGACCTTATTAAAAGGCCTACATATGGCTCTAATCTCCCTTGATCATGTTAATGCTCTTGTCATGAGGGGAAACACAATACTTGGAGTACTACGATCACCTGAATTTTAAACACTGCTCTGTCACGCAGACATGAACACAAGTGTGATGAGTGCGTGCACCCTATACTTATGTGTTAAGTTATGCAATGAAGTGATTTTTCAATTTATTTTCATTCATAGTTTATCTGCACAGAGATCAACACCTTACCCTGCAGCAAGTCAACAGTCAAGTGAACAGCAGAAACTTGCGCTGTATCAGTTTATACCCGGTTTTCATTCAGAACATTCACAATACCTGCAACAGCATGGGGATCGGAATAAAATTCGTCAAGCTGGGAAGTTGAACAGTCCAAGGCAGCTTTCAGCTTTTTCAACTTGGAGGCTCCAGCAGCAATTCTGAATAAGCCCTGCATAATAAAAACAAAACGTATTCGGTAAGAACACGATAGTACAAGCACGAAACAGTAGCAGTTCTATGACAGCCTCCTTCTGAAGAGTTTCCAGTTCAGTGTCTTCACCTTACACTGTTGTGACCTAGCTGGCTCTTAATGTGCCACCGCTATCTGATAATATTTTAGTTCCCCCTCACCTTGGCCCATTCCTAATTGCTCATTCTGCCTGCATTCATCTCAGAGATACTTCAAACAGTGCTGAAGGTTATTCCCTTGCAAAAGATTTATCATCTACACTAATGAACAAAATTACTTGTTAAAAAGCACAGACACCAGCCCCTGAGTTTGACTGAGCTCTTTTCCTGTCCTTCACAGCATGTGACATGGTATTACCCACCTCCTCTCTCATTCCCGTTTCCAAAAGCATCATTACACAGGCTTCAATAGGGACGGCAATTTCACGGCCACTGCGCTTGAGATGCTCTTCTAATGGAGTTCCAAAAGCTGGTTTTTCAGTCCATTTGTCTAGTTGGAGAGTATCAAAACACTGAGCAAAACATCTAACAAACACTTGAATTATGTCCCAGACAAGAAAAGAACAAAACCTCCAGTAAAGCAAAGAAATTTTTCAGAATACAGTAGGAGTTTCACAGCCCTTAATTGGTAAAGTTCCTTATAGCATCAGTAAAGAGAAAATGAGCCTGCTGGTGTTCAATACTTCTGCATCTTTCTGGATGGAACATCACACACAAATCCTTTGAATAACTGGAAGTGCTCATCCCACTACGCCTCAACACAAGTGCCACCACATGGCTGTAAGTGACATTAATTCTTGTTTTGCCAAGACACCAAATGGCTTACGTTTGCAAGAAACTTTGAGAAAAATTTTGTCCAGATTGCATCATCTGGGCTGAAATTAGTTTTACCTGTATTTAAGGTGCAAAAACCTGGGCTGTTAATACAAAGTTTATTGCTGATTCAAGCAATCAGCAACTTAAAATGGATGTTACTAGCCCTGATGTCTCATGTTAGAATTACATTAACAGCCCACCACTAACACTTCCACAACTTGTCAATTCAGTTTTGAAATTGTTGCTTAACTCAAAATCAAAACTGGCACAAGTTTCTCCATACTGAATGCAAATTTTCTTGTTTCCTACAATTTCTATTTTTACCCATTTCTGCTGCCTTAGTTGAAAAAATGCAGATGTAAAAGATTATTGTTAGTACAGATGCATTACTGCTTTTATGTGGAAAAAAGGTCAAGAAAGACAAAGACTTCGCAAGAGTCCTCTGAAGACACAATGTGCTTCTGCAAAGGATTTAATCTACCCTGTGTTTACAAAAAATCACATCAACTATATCCCTCGCAAGGCTCTTGTTCCTCTCATTCATTAACACATCAGGAGAGGCATATGTCGTTTTCCCAGTTTTGCAAGGTACAGGAAACATTAGGAAAAGAAATCCTAGTGATTGTTCAAAGTCACATTTGCGTGACAGCTGGAAACACACCTGAAGTCATGCGCTACACTTAGACACCGGACCCTTGGACACCCTGCCTCCTAGCCCACCTGCAAGGAAGGCTAATCCGTTCTGAAGCATTTGTCATATAAAGTTCCTACAAAGCAGCTGAGCAACAACAACAACAAAAATTAAAGCAGTCACATCCGCAAAGAGAGACCCTTCCCTCCAGCCATAGTGCAGCCCTGATGCTGTGGGAGCATCGCTCGTCTGCATTACCTCGTCTCCCATCAGCTCTACAGGGCACAGAATTCTGTATCATCTTTCAGCAAGGTACTCATTTATTTATATATTTAAAAGATTAATCTTTTACAACTTGCATGTGGTCCACAACTGAAGATACCTGAGCCTTGTTCAGCTTAGAATATATTTTTCTCAGACGTTGTCCAGCCTACCTCTTGTTCAAAGCAATTAGCAGATTAAGAGGCAGTACAGACAGGATTTAGAACAGCGATTTCAACACCACACAGTGCACCTTCACACTGAACCATTAACAAGACACCTTAACTCCTGCTGACAATAAAAAGCTTAGTAGCACAGGGAAGAGATGAAGCTGTATTACTTGCTTTTCCTAACTGCTGATATTCAACACAATCATGTGAACACTCCATGAGCCAGCTGCGGTGCAGGGTGCACACTGGGAAAAAGGGATTGCATAAAAGTAGGGAAAAAAGTCAAGCTCCTTAGAACGAGAGGAGTTTTTTCTGATAATCGCCTAGTAACAATTCAAGAAGCAAGGACCCTAAAAAATTCCTAAATCACAACAAAACTTTCATTTGCCTAAAAAGCCAGTTATGAATTAGCAAAAGGTCACACGATATCAAGGAAAAAGTGCAAGCAAATAGAAAAATCCTTCCTTTACCCTCTTGGGTATCAGAGAGATCCTAAGTGTTTTATTAGTGTGTTAAAATATGGCTGGAGAACTCTAGAGAGCAGAGATGGAATTATGCTTGGGAATGTAAAACTGTTAAATAGATTAAAATGGCCTTATTAAATAAGTCTGCATGCAAGAGAATCAAGATAAAGGAGGAGAACATTGTGCATAGGTGGCACAGGCAAGGAGAAGCATTAGCCAGAGCACAGGTTACTTTACCTTGATGGGCTTGAATTTCGGGTAGGACCTTTTCTATGACTGCTAATGCTTTTCTATGGTAATCTGCTTGTGCTTCTAATAACTGAGAACAGAAGCCACATTTTAAAAACAAAAAGAGCATTAGCTTCTGATGAGCACATAATACAAGACTAGAAGGTTTAGCACACTAAATGTAATCTTTGAGAATCGAGTGTCTATGTACAAACGTGCTGCAATTAAAGTCGTAGTGAAATAATACTCACCATAACAAAACATCTAGCATATTCCCCTTCTTTGGACACAAAGTTGTACATGTCTGCTGCTAGCTGATCCTTTGAAAAAGAAAAGAATGCAAAACAGTACATCACATTTCCCGGGGCATTTCAGCTTATACAGAAAACCAGAAGTACACGTTTACATCGCTTGCAGTAAGTCTGAACTATCGATTCAGGCAGTACAGGATGCCAGCAATCCACTTACTCTGCTACTTGTATTCTTCCAAGCAAAATTAATTCAAAATGCCTAACTTTGGTTTATACAGCAAAGCAGCGGCTCACTTAAGTCAACAACTGGCTTGCACAGCAATACGCCATTCACGGCCAATCCCTGCATACGAAGACAAGCACTACTAAAAGGCTTTTGGTGCTCAGCTCAACTGTGGCATAAGGTAGTATTTGACAACTGAGAAGTGAAACTGAATGTGAACTGCTCAGAGCTGTAATGGTCAGAGAGTTCCTTCTATGTCAGCAGGCTGACTTTCATCCAGGTGGCTCACACTGCATACAGACACTCTGAACATTTCAGTCAAGTCTAGGACACAGTTCCTTCCCATAACTGCACCAGACTGAAACAGAAAATAATGTAAGTACCCACTTAAAAAAAAAAAAGTTCCTCATCAAAGTCAAGAAATTCAGAGGCAAAGCAGCTAGCATTAATATACCTTGAAGACATACAGTTTGTTAACAGCCACATAATTTGTGACGGCAGTAATCAGCCAGTGCCACGCGCGAGGCTCACAGAAGGAGCCATGTTCTGATTGCTGCTGCTGCTAATGAGAGCTCTGCAAAGGACAGACGCTCATCTCGTCATACCTTGCATTGTTCTACTTTATTTCCAGCTTCATCCATCTCCTCCTTTAGAGATTCTATTTTTGAAGGATGCACTTGAAAATTTGTTCCTGAAGTCTTGTGGGCTTGATTATACCTGCGGAAGAAAGGCTTCAGTCCTTTGGTGAAAACTAATATTAAACAACCACCTGCATTTATGGCTCCTTTTCACAGAAAACCAACCCAATAGTTTCAGAAGTTTTCCAACAGAACTAAGGAAGGTGCTCAAAATACACCATTTATGACATGCTGGCGTCATTCACAAACAGCTACAACTAGAACACACTAGCTAAACAACTAGAAAAATCCAGCAGAAATCCTGCATTCTCCAGAGTCCATAACATGGCTGTATAATGTGTTAGAACTACCAACCCCCAAAAATGCTACAGAAATTATCACCAGAGCTTAAGGCCATTCAGAGGGATTTACCAGTAAGCTGGGCAGCCTAGCCTCCTACCCAGGAGATGGTTCAATATAATGCTGTCAAAGCACTGAGCATGGTAAGAAAATTAGACTCCTATTCCTTAGTTAAGTTGACAACTTAAGTGAACTGGAATGAAGATAAGTTTTCAGCATTTTTCCTATTTATATATAGACAAGTAAGAGCTCCAAAACCTTGATTCTGTTTAGATCTAGTAGACATGAGTCCTTTTCGGAATAACTTACATGTAAGTTTGTCTTTTTTCAGCAAAGTATTAACATGCATGAAGTAGCATATCGGAAGCAAGTACTGGCATCAGACCAGATGCCAACAAGAAGTTAACGTGAATAGAAAAAGAGTTAGTAATTAAAATTATTTCTTACCTTCCTCTTGCAGAATCCCAGTCCAACACCAGCTTTGCAAGCTGTTTCCTCTGCTTCTGAATGTTCGGGATCTCTGTCTAAAAGGAGAATTCAAGGCTTACGTTTATTTTTAATTTGTGTATTGTAACAAACTGCATTTTGTAGATTTCATGTCCACTTTCCACCACTAATGCATGGTTCCTTAAAACAGTTTTATTGTTAGCACTGAGATAAAGCCTTTTTGCTCAGTTTATACATAAATCTGGATTTATTTCTTCAGCCAGGCTGAAGTGACTTACCTCCGTCAGCAGACACAGTGGATCTAAAACTTCTCTTTCGATCTGTACTTCATGCTGAGAGAGCTCCATCGCCAGTTTATTCTCTGCATCACCACACGTATCTAGCATTTTCCTTTAAGAATTATAGGAAGTTGGAATGAGAGTTACTACTGAGTAAAGAAGAAAGATTCAAAACAAAACAGTCTGCTACCCTTTTGAAAGCTTTGTGCTGTATACAGCGAGGCACTACTTAATGGCATAAACCCAAGATGCTCCATGCCCTCATGGGCAAATTCGGGATAGGCAAGGAGTGCTATTAAACCTTTGTCTTCTAAAATTCCTTAGCCATTACAACATTTTTGGAGGCTTTAAGTCATCTAGGTGATTATACTGGCCCTAGGGGCAGAGAAGTTAGTATTTATTTCAAAGCCCATCCTTCCATCTCACCAGATGCAGGAAAATTACGCAAGGCAGTATTTAATTTTCTCCTAAGCCCCTTTAATGTGAAAAAGTCTTAACACAATAACACTAAGCAGTCACATATGCAGCAGTCTCAGGTTCCAAAACCATGGCCTGACCTTTTTTTTTTAATCTTGTTATAAGGATAAACCCTATTCTCAAAGTTTTTTATCCATGTTTAAATCTCCTGCAACAGTTCACAAAAATGCACACAAAGGTTTTTAAGGTCATTCTACACTGTCTCCATTAGCATGCCCATCAGCAACAAGGAAACACATTTGCTCTAGGAATTCAGCATATTGACATTCATTTGTTTCAGCCACTTTCCTGTAAGTTTCAAATATGCACTTCACCAGGATAAGGAAACTGGCATTATTTTGAACTAGAAGCTATTAATGCAAATTGGCATTATTTTAAGTCATTAACACACACCTGCAGAATGCAGTATTTACATTAAATTTTAAACTTTAAATGGAGATGATAATTCTACCAATCCAAAGGGAGAAAAGCCACTTTCAAAAGCTTTCAAGATAGCAGAGAATCAGAATCTTCTGGAATGCAATTCAGAGCAAGCCTAAAACTTGCCCTTAGGGTCACTCCAGAAGAAATGCTTGCTCACTTTTTTCTCCCTTTAGATGAGAGAAGGAATCTTGAAATATTAGTTTCATTAGATTGAAAACAGCCTTTGTGTACCCAAAGTCTCTCATTAGAGCCCTGCAGGCAATAAAATGACAGACTGCAACTTGTACAGAAAGCCAAACACTTACCCCAACAGAGTTTCATCACTGAGCTGGACAGATCCTTCTTGCATATTTTGAGCAAGGGCTGTCAGAGGAAGTTTTTTCTATGGAAAAGAAGCAGCAGTGCTTAGTTTAGCTTAG